GCTGGGCCAGAGTGGTGACTACAGGGGTAAGAGACAAGTGCTTGGATTCTGGTGGGGATTGTTTGTTTGTTTTTATTTTTAAAGTAGGACCAACCAGATTTTCTGATGTGGAGTGTGAGAGAAAGATGGGAAAGGGTCAGAGATGACCCCACAGTTTTTTGCCTGAGAAGACATAAGGAAGAAGAAGGTCTCAATTGAAATAGTGAAGTTGGTGATGAGAGTAACTTTCAGAGGTAATATCCAGTGTTAGGTTTTTATTTATTTTTATTTTTTGCGGTATGCGGGCCTTGCACTGTTGTGTCCTCCGCCGTTGCGGAGCACAGGCTCCAGACGTGCAGGCTCAGTGGCCATGGCTTATGGGCCCAGCTGCTCCATGGCATGTGGGATCCTTCTGGACTGGTGCACAAACCCGTGTCCCCTGCGTCGGCAGGCAGACTCTCAACCACTGCGCCACCAGGGAAGCCCCAGAGTTAGGTTTTGATCATGTTGAATCTGCAGTGGTCCAAAGACATCTGAGTTGATGTATCAAGTGGACAGGTGGACACATGGGTATGGAGTTCAGAGGAGGGATTCAAGTTGGAGACATCCACAAGGTGACAGCCAGTATGTGATTAGGGTAGAGCTGTGTATCAGATTTAGAGAGAGAACCTTTATGTCATGGTCGCAGTGCCTTTGGGGGTCTGGAAAGGAAGTGGGCACAGTGGAGTGGAAGTAAGAGTTACCTTAGAGGCAAGAAAAGGGAGGTTAGTGTCCATGGTGAGCAGGGAAAATAGGATCTGGCAGTTGATGAAAGGGAGAAAGTAGACATGAGATGAATTCTGAAGTAAAGCAGTAATAGAGATGACATGAAAGACCAAAGCTGGTCCTCCTTCCCCTCTCCGTGTGCTTTTCAGGTTTTTGTGGTGACCTTTGGTGGGGACTGGGGAGTTTTAGTTGAGCTGGTAGGTTAGTTCAGAGCTAAATTGGGTCAGCTGCAGAGTCACTATGCTTGGGGTAGAAGGCCAGTGGGTATGGGCTTTGAATGAGAGTTTAGTGGTAAGTGTTAAGCCTGTGACTGATGAGGGTATAGTATCCCCAGCATGCAGTAGCAAGGTGGAAAAGGTCTGGCTTTATCTCATAATCTGCATATGCTTCTGAATTGCTGAAATTTAATCAAGGAAGGAAGAAATTAAAAGCTGAGTTTGGAAATACCTATGGCAGTGGAGGCTATTGACTGGTGATGGATGTAACCCTGGATGCATTAACCAAACATTCTCTGGATGCCATGTGCAGGTTTACATCTGGGAGGTACCTACTTTGTGAACCTCCTTAGATAACGAGGGAGGTGTGGTCTAAAGAGTGATGTGTCCATGGAGATGGAATCTGAATTCATGGCCTGGGGGCTCAGGTACTGAGGGATTTAAGGGGATGGTGGAGGTCAAATTTGTGTGTGAGAGGCATAATCTCTGGATCCCATGGGAGCTAGCTGGCTGAAGAAGGGTTGGTTCCTGCCTGCCAGGCCCAGACTATACAGTGTGTCTATCTGTCCACTTGCTTTTTGTTCTAGGCTGGGTGAAATGATTAATGGAAAATGAGGAAAGAGGTGGCATCAATTACACCAGGGCCTGCTGTATTGTTTTGCGTTGGGGAGCTGGGGAGGAATGTGAAATTGTGGTGGATACACTGGGAATCCTGGGGAGAGAGGCTGCCCTTGTGCTATTGTGCTGTTCATGTAGGATCCTTTTGAGGGTGTGTTTGTGCATTTTTCCTGGGAGAAATGGGGACCTCTTGATAAAGCTCAGAGACTCTCATATCACAATGCAGTGCCTTCTATGCTTTGCTCTTATGGTTTTCCTGGGTAAGGCCCTGCATATCCCAGTTTTCTGGGCTATGTTCTGCTCTTCCTGTTTTTCCCCTAGAAGTTGCGATTTCCTTCCTATAGCTGGACCGTGAGCACTCCCTCACATACATCCTCTGGGTGCCAGGTCTTAGCTGGGTATGCTCCCTATGCTTCCTGACTTCTGTTGCCCCAAAATTGCCAGGAAGGATTTGAAGGTCAAGAGTCTTATGGTCAGCCCAGTGGATACTATCCTGCCTGGCTTCTTCCTGGGTGGATGGCTCTGTCTACACTCATGGTGCATTTTTGCTCCAGATTATGTCCCCTTTCTTTGATTGACATTCCCTTGGGCCTATCTCTGTCATGAATTATAGTTATGGTCACTGATTGTGGGGCCCATAGATTGTTCCTTTAAGGTTTTCATTTTGTATTTAATCTCTCCTGGGCGGGCTACCCTGGGCCATTGCTTTCCTCTTCGCTTGCCCTGTCTTTCCTGTGTGACTTGTATCTTCTAGATCCTCTGTGGTTGCTGAGCTGTAGCAGGGGAAAGATTAGTGCCTGATTGAGAGGTCCTGACTAGCCACAGCAAAAGAGACATGGACAGGCCCTGGTGAGTGGGAGCCTGGGCAGGATATAACTTCAAGGATGGATGCAAATAGCACCAGAAACCTGTCCTATGCCCACTGCTCTTTGGTGCCCAGGCTATAGGCCATACCTTATTTCTCTTTTCCTCCCAATTCTGGACTCTTTACATACTTTTCACCTCTATTCTGATCTGTGACCCAGGGCTGCCCACCCCACTCATCAGTGCTCTCTACTGCTCCCTCTGTGGTGCTCTCGTCTGTTGGACAGTGTTAATGTGTCATGAAACATAAGCATGTACTTAAATAGTTTTTGAATACCAGTTACTCATTTTAAATCACATTTTCTGGGCCTGGACATAACATTTCTGGATAGTACTCACCTGTCACCAATAGTCAGTCAAGGCCCTTCTAAAAGTCATTTGCAAGGTGTGAGTTGGAGATCTTGCCTGCCTCTTCTCTCTCAGCTACACCCCATCCTGTGTCTTTGCTGTAAGACCTTCCCCATTCTGTGACCTACAGAGTCCAGTACTGCACAGCAGCTCTTTCTTTAACCTAATCCCAAAGCTGCTGTCCTGCCACCAACCCTGTGGACTCAATCCTGGGTATGCTAGATGCTAGATACACATTTGTGATGGGATTGCCCACTCCCACTGAAGACAGCATGCTGTTCAGCAGCATTTTTCTGCTTTCAGGTTGTTGGCATGGAGTGGAGAATGAAGAGGAACCTTCTGAGCAGAGTGTTTCTGTAGCAGTGTCACACGTTCATACTTTCAAGGCAGATTCATCGACCCAGATGGCTCACCCCTGTGACTTATGTGGCCCAATCTTGAAAGATATTTTGCACCTGGATGAACACCAAGAAACACACCGTGGACTGAAACCTTACACATGTGGGGCATGTGGGAGACAATTCTGGTTCAGTGTAAACTTTGACCAGCACCAGAAGCTGTACAATGTAGAGAAACTCTTAACAGGAGACAAAGACAAGACCTCATTTGTGAAGAACTGTAGGGCCTGTGAAGAACCTCACCTGTCAGAGAAGCCCTTTGCATGTGAGGAGGAGCAGAAGAACTTCCAGACCAGTTTGGGCAGTCACCAGCAAAAGGCCACCCACAGTAAGAGGAAAACAAGGAGCACTGAGAGTGGGGAGGCCTATCATATTAGACAAATGCATTACAAGTGCAGTGAATGTGGGAAAGCTTTCAGTCGCAAAGATACACTTGTCCAGCACCAGAGAATCCATACTGGAGAAAAGCCTTATGAGTGCAATGAATGTGGGAAAGCATTCAGCCGCAAAGCCACACTTGTCCAGCACCAGAGAATCCACACAGGAGAAAGGCCTTATGAGTGCAGTGAATGTGGAAAAGCCTTTAGCCGCAAGGACAACCTTACTCAGCACAAAAGAATTCACACTGGAGAAATGCCTTATAAGTGTGGCGAATGTGGCAAATACTTCAGCCATCACTCCAACCTAATTGTACACCAGAGAGTTCACAATGGAGCAAGGCCTTATAAGTGCCACGATTGTGGGAAAGTCTTCAGACACAAATCCACACTTGTTCAGCATGAGAGTATCCACACTGGAGAAAATCCTTATGTTTGCAGTGAATGTGGGAAATCCTTTGGCCACAAATATACCCTTATTAAACACCAGAGAATTCATACTGAGGCAAGGCCTTTTGAGTGCACTGAATGTGGGAAATTCTTTAGTCGAAGCTCTGACTTTATTGCACACCAGAGAGTTCACACAGGTGAAAGGCCTTTTGTGTGCAGCAAATGTGGGAAAGATTTCATCAGAACCTCCCACCTTGTTCGGCACCAAAAAGTTCACACTGGAGAAAGGCCATATGAATGCAATGAATGTGGGAAATCGTATAGCTTAAGCTCCCATCTCATTAGGCACCAGAAAGTTCACACTGCCGGAAGGCTGTAGGAGTGCGTCCAACACAACAGAACTCATGGCGAGGAGCTCTGTGTCTGCCTTTAGAGAGGGAGACATCAATCATGTGTCAAACCACATATATCTGGACATTAATACTGTGGAGTATTTTATGAATGCCAGGTGCAGGGGAAGCTTTCAGAAGCTATGTTGCACTTTCAGACCTGCTCAGGTTCCTTGCCAAATTTGTTAGTGCCTGTGGCTGAAACCATCTCAACTCAACCAGCTTACCCTAATATTTTTAGGGGAGGCAGAACTTCATGCTCTCTTCAATCCCTGGAGGAAATTATAAGAAATCTGAATTAAATGGTGGTCCTCATTTGCTTACCTCTGACCGGAAAAGGTATGGACATGATCCACTTTTAGCCAAGATGATCTAAGCTGTGCTCTGGTAGCAGAAAAGGTTTACTTTATTCATGGACATTGTTGGTCTCATGTGATACTTGTGATGAATTTTTCCAGCCTCCAAGTCACCCAGGCTGGATAACTACTTGACTCATGTTGCGCTGGTTTGTGTGGTAATAAATACCTTATTATTTAAGCCACCTTTAATCTCTGAGGTTCTTTTTAGTGTCTGGAGTTGTTTAGAAACCGTTAGACTCTGCCAAACTGAAGAGGTAAACTGTTTGTGGTGGGCTCCCTACTGTGTGCCTCAAATAGAACAGGTTGACAGAGAACAGTTCTCAGTCCAATCTTGGTGTTAATTTCCATTGCTGACAAAAGCTTGGGTGAGAATTCAGGGCTTTGTGGGCCTGATTTTGTCTAGATTTCAGTTATTCGAGGGTCCAGACATCACCTTGAGAAGGGTGGTATTGTAACAACCTACAACATGTTTGGGAGCAGCATGGCTTCAGTGTCTTGTTTTCACCATATATGCCACATTCCCTGGCACTGTTGAGGGGCAGCTGTTCCTTAGGAGCTGCCAAATGCCATATGCCCTGAAGGCCAGAATCTGGTACAGGAGTCAATGGCTGTAAGACTTACTGTGTCCAGGAAGGAAACAAAATTGATGCAGAAACACTGGGTGTGAATAATTGAGATCGGAGAGACTGCTGCAAACGAGAATGGGTGTGTCCATGCTAAAAACACATCCATAAACATTCAAGTCACTATCGCTGGATGAGATCATGTATGGAGATTGTCATGCTCTCTGGGGCTGCCTCATTCTTATGACCAGGGTCAGTGGCAGAGCAAAGAATGTAGTTTTCCTCAATTTCTGTGCCTCCTTGGGCTCTTCAGCTGATGCTGCATGGGCAGGAACCCTGGGAATGAGAATAGAACTGTAGTCAACATGCAGTATACTGCACACACTGTACAGTTTGGTAAGCCTTAATATATGTATACACATTTGAAATCGTCTAGTCATGATATTGGATATATCCATCACCCTTTCTCAGTGCCTTTCCTAATACTTTACCTACCACCCCTAAGCAACCATTGATTGACTTTCAGTATAGATAAATTTGCCTTTTCTAGAATTTTATTTAAGTGGAACCTTAAAAGTTTACTTCTGTCTGCTGTCTTGCAACATGATTATTTTGAGAATCATCTATAGCTCATTCTCTTTATTGCTGAGTAATGTTCTGTATGGATATACCACACCATATCAATATATCTTAAATGATATTTGGAGTCCCCCCCCCCCACAGATTCTAAATATAAAAATAAAGCTGCTGCAAATATTCATGTGCAAGTCTTTTTATGGACATTTAGCTGAGGACATTTCTAAAAAGTGTTGAAAGTTGTGGCCTCATTTCTTCTTACTGATTATAGTAAAATGTGATAGGGAAAAGTAAATATAGGGAAGACGTGAAAAACAGAAAAGACCCAAGACTTGATGATTTGGGAAATTCTCAGCAAATTTTTTTTTAAGACTTTTTTTTTTTTAAATTTATTTTTGGCTGCCTTGGGTCTTCATTGCTGCATGCGGGCTTTCTCTAGTTCAGGCAAGTGGGGGCTACTCTTCATTGCAGTGTGCAGTCTTCTTACTGCGATGGCTTCTCTTGTTGTGGAGCATGGGCTCTAGGTGCGTGGGTTTCAGTATTTGTGGCACGTGGTCTCAAGTTGTGGCTCATGTGCTCTAAGCCCATGCACCACAACTACTGAGCCTGAGCTCTAGAGCCTGCAAGACACAACTGCTGAGTCCAGGTGCCACAACTACTGAAGCCTGTGCACCTAGAGCCCGTGCTCCACAAGAGAATCCAGGACAATGAGAAGCCCACACACTGCAATGAAGAGTAGACCCCACTCACTCCAACTAGAGAAAGCCCATGCACAGCAACGAAGACCCAATGCAGCCATCCATAGATAGATAAACAAATAAATAAATAAACCATGCCCTTTGATTTAAAAAAAAATAAAATATTTAAAAACCAAAGTAGGCAAAAGGAAAGAAAGGATAAAGAGCAGAAATTAATAAAATAGGAAATAGAAAAATCAGTGAACTCCAAATTGATAGATCTCTAGGTAGATTGATCAGAAAAAAAAAATTACCAATACGAAGAATGAAAGGTGGGATGGCACTAAAGACATTAAAAGGATTATATGTGATATTTATTTATTTTGTTGCACCAGGTCTTAGTTGTGGCAGGCAGGCTCCTTAGTTGCAGCATGCAGACTCTTAGTTGTGACATACATGTGGGATCTAGTTCCCTGACCAGGGATCAAACCCAGGCCCCCTACCTTGGGGGCATGGAGTCTTAACCACTGTGCCACCAGGGAAGTCCCTATATGTGATATTTTAAACACTTTCCAACAACTCTACAAAAACCAGAAATTGAGAAAAAAATTTCTTGAAATACTCCAACTACTCAAGTTCACTGAAGAAGAAATGAGTAATCTGAAATGCCCTCTATTATAGATATTGAATTGGTAGTTTAAAATTTTCCTACTATGATTTCATGCCAAGATGACTAATGACTTCTTCTAGAAATTTAAGGAAGAAATAATTCCAATACCACTCAAATTATTATTTTTTTTCAGATGGAAGTCTTCTCAGCTAGTTTTGTGAGATTATCTTTAACTTGATACCAAAATCAGGCAGTACTGTTAATAGCAAACTGCAGACCAACACCCACATGTACATAGATGAAAAACATCCTTAACAAAATATTAGGAAATTCAAAACCCTGTCATAATTTGGGATAGAAATGATCATCTTTCAGGTGATTAAAGATGCAATTTACTGTGAAAACATGGTAATACAATACCTGCATGTACCAAAACAGCTTCACGTGGGAAAAGCACAAGGGATAGAACTTCCTGGAGAAAATGACCAATCTGGATCTGACCCTGTGCTTGATCAGATCTCCTTTGATTTGAACCACTGATGCTCTGTTTTTTTCTTTTACAAACTGCATTGTAAATACTGTCTTTTCTATAAACAATAGTCTGCCTACTCCTTGGCCAAATATGCTCCTTGCTTCTTTCATGTCTCTTACTTTTGTGTGACAGTTTTTCAAGAGACTTTTCTGTACTCCCTGTTTTCCTATCCTGAACTCTTATTTCGTTTCTGTGGGATCTCACCCTGTCTTATGACTGATATACCATCTAACAGTTCTCAAATGGATGTATTCAGCCAAGTTACTTCTCCCAAATTTCAGATTTGTACCTAACTCCTACTGGACATTATCCTTAGATGTCTGGCAGGTACCTGAGACTGAATAGGTTCATAACCAAGCTCCTTCTTTTATTTTTCCATATCTTGACTTTATTTATTTATTTATTTATTTTGCGGTATGCGGGTGTCTTACTCTTGTGGCCTCTCCCATTGCAGAGCACAGGCTCTGGACGTGCAGGCTCAGCGGCGATGGCTCACGGGCCTAGCCGCTCCGCGGCATGAGGGATCTTCTCATACCAGGGCACGAACCCATGTCCCCTGCATCGGCAGGTGGACTCTCAACCACTGCGCCACCAGGGAAGCCCTTGACTTTATTTTTTAATATAGAAAATGCACTTTTGGAAGCCAACACTAATTTTCCCCCTAACATAATTCTTTACCTGTTAAACAAAATAAAGTACTGGGACTTCCCTGCCAGTCCAGTGGTTAATACTTGGCCTTCCAATGCAGGGGGTGCAAGTTCAATCCCTGGTTGGGGAGTTAAGATCCCACATGCCTCGGGGCCAAAAAACCAAAACATAAAACAGAAGCATATTGTAACAAATTCAATAGACTTAAAGTACTAATTCTATATACATCACATGTACCATACAAAAATGTATCCAAAGTTTCTATTTCCCTAAAAACCTACTCCAGGGGCTTCGCTGGCAGTCCAGTGGTTAAGACTGCACTTCCACTGCCGAGGGCAGCGGTTTGATCCCTGGTCAGGGAACTATGATCCAGCAAGCCACGTGGTGTGGGCAAAAAGAAATAATAATAAAAAATTTAAAAAGTAATAAAAACCTACTCCAACTTCAACCTCCCCTATTTCTCTCAAGAGCACCTCATATTCCAGTTGTCCAGGAAAAAATTCTCAGACTCATCCTCGAAGCCTCTGTTTCTCTCCTCACGTCTATCACATAGGAGTCCCGTTGCCTTCACCTTCCAAAGCTACCAGGGTTTGACTACTTTTCATCATCCACCCTGCTCCCTCCGAGTCACAACCACCATCATCTCACACTCAGAATCTTCTACATGGTTTCTGTGCTTCCACCTAGCCCCTTCCACAGCATTTTAAAAAATTTATTGGGGCTTCCCTGGTGACGCAGTGAATTACTTCAAAAATAATTTTAAAAACCTTTGCTTTCATAAAGACATTCTCAGGTTTTTTTGTTTTAAATTTTATTTATTGGTGGCACCAGGTCTTCATTGCTGTGCACAGGCTTTCTCTCTAGTTGCAGTGAGCAGGGGCTACTCTTCATTGTCATACGTGGGCTTCTCACTGTGATGGCTTCTCTTGTTGTGGAGCACAGGCTCTAAGTGCGTGGGCTTCAGTAGTTGTGGCTTGCAGGCTCTAGAGCGCAGGCTTAGTAGTTGTGGTGCACGGGCTTAGTTGCTCCACGTCATGAAGGATCTTTCCGGACCAGTGATCGAACCCGTGTCCCCTGCATTGGCAGGCGGATTCTTAATCACTGAGCCACCAGGGAAGCCCTCAGTTTGCTTTTAATGTCAGATTAAACATTGAACACTTTTGGGAATAAGATTTAATATAGTCTTTCTTTTCTTTTTCAGATTCTTCTGACTACAATTAAACATTATCCCTCAGGTACTGATGTGATGGTTTCTACTAACCTAGACTGGGTGATTATCTTCCTCACTCAGATGAAAGTTGGGATCCTGGGTAACTCCTCACTTCTTTGCTTTTATACTTTCACTTTGATCACTGGATGAAGTCTCAGACCCACAGAACAAATCCTCAACTAACTTGTCCTAGCCAACTGCTTAGTTCTTTTCTCCAAAGGGATCCCTCATGAAATGACAGTGTTTGGACTGAAATATTTCCTGGTTGTTGCTGGATATAAACTTGTGTTCTATTTTCATAGAGTAGCCAGAGGGGTTTCTCTCAGCACTACCTGCCTCCTTGGTGGCTTCCTGAGGGGAGGGGGAAGCTGGGGCGAAGTGAGAGTAGCATCGACATATATACACTACCAAATGTAAAACAGATAGCTAGTGGGAAGCAGCAGCATAGCATAGGGAGATCAGTTCGGTGCGTTGCGATGACCGAGAGGGGTGGGATAGGGAGGATGGGAGGGAGGCTCAAGAGGGAGGGCATATGGGGGTATATGTATACATATGGCTGATTCACTTTGTTGTACAACAGAAACTAACACAGTATTGTGAAGCAATTATACTCCAATAAAGATATATTAAAACAAAAACAGGGCTTCCCTGGTGGCGCAGTGGTTGAGAGTCCGCCAGCAGATGCAGGGGACACGGGTTCGTTCCCCGGTCCGGGAAGATCCCACATGCCGTGGAGCGGCTAGGCCTGTGAGCCATGGCCGCTGATCCTGTGCGTCAAGAGCCTGTGCTCCACAACGGGAGAGGCCACAACAGTGAGAGGCCCGAGTACCGCAAAAACAAAACAAACAAAAAAAAAACAACTTTGTCCCAGTAGCTCTAAGTGGATGGAGGTCAAAATTAGAATCCCAAAGTTCACTGGCTTCTGCTGTTCCTCTTGCTGGATCCTGAATCTCCTAGTAAATATGCATGTTGCTATAAAGGTGCATGGCCTAAGCAACACCAAAAATGTAAGTTTGGGAAAAGTATATGAATACTGTTCTGAGCCTACTCCAGACAAACTTACAAGCTCACTTCTGGCAAGGATAATATTTTTCATTGACTGTGTTTTTGTGTCTCATGGTCTGGGCTAGTGGCTCCACGATCTTTGTCCTGCACAGACACAAGCAGCAAGTCCAACACATTCACAGCAACAGCCTCTCCCTGAGACCATCCCACGAGGCCAGAGCCACAGGCACCATCCCGATCTTGGTGAGCTTCTTTGTTTTACTTTATTCTCTTTCTTCCATTTTGACTTTCTGTGTAGTCTTAAGTGTGAATCCAGCCCAATGGCTGGTGAACACATCTGTGTTCGTGGCTTTATGTTTCCCGACTCTCAGCCCCTTCGTGCTCATCACCCATGACAAGCGTGTCTCTAAGTTACGCTTTGCGAAGATTGCTTTTTTCTTCATGGAGTGTAATATGTCCTCTACAGGGCACTAAATTACCCTTTTCCTTCTTTATTCACATGCAAATGTCTACCAAGTGCCAGTTCTCTGAGGTAGCACTGCTCAGTTTGTGGGATCTTAGTTCCCCAACCAGGGATCGAACCCATGCCCCCAGAATGGAAGCACAGTCCTAACCACTGGACTGGCAGGGAAGTCCCATCTCCAAGGCAGTTTTTTTTGTTTGTTTTTCTTTTTAATTAATTAATTAATTTTTGGCTGTGCTGGGTCTTCGTTTCTATGCCAGGGCTTTCTCTAGTTGCAGCAAGCGGGGGCCACTCTTCATCACGGTGCATGGGCCTCTCACTATCGCGGAGCACAGGCTCCAGACGCACAGGCTCAGTAGTTGTGGCTCATGGGCCTCGTTGCTCTGCAGCATGTGGGATCTTCCCAGACCAGGGCTCGAACCCATGTCCCCTGCATTGGCAGGCAGATTCTCAACCACTGCTCCACTAGGGAAGCCCCTGAGGCAGTTTTGATTAAGGTAATGTATTAAAAATTGAATTATAAAAAAACAACAACAAAAAACAGAAACTGCCCTATTAGATTTAGCCAAATCGGGACCTATAGGTAAATAGTTATACAAAGACCGTGAACCTAGTTTTACCACGTCCTTCAGAAATGGCTGAGGATATTTAGAAATAGTATAAAACTTCCCTGGTGGCACAGTGGATAAGAATCTGCCTGCCATTGCAGGGGACACAGGTTTGAGCCCTGGTCTGGGAAGATCCCACATGCCACGGAGCAACTAAGCCTGCGAGCCACAACTACTGAAGCCCATGTGCCTAGGGCTCATGCTCCGCAAAAAGAGAAGCCACTGTAATGAGAAGTCCGCGCACCGCAACAAAGAATAGCACGCCCCCCCGCCCCACCGCACCTAGAGAAAGCCTGCCCGCAGCAACGAAGACCCAACGCAGCCTAAATAAATAAAAACAGAGATAGTATCCCTTGTCAGGGAACTAAGATCCCACATGCCCATGAAGTGTGGGCCTCCCCCACCAAAAAATTTAAAAAAAAAGTATTTCAACTTAAGGTTTTACTTTACGTAACATACTCAGGGATTTTATGGCACTATGTTTTTTTTTTTTTTGGCTTTTCTATATTACCACTGGAATTACATTTCATTTTTCTTTTTAAGTTTCTTTACTCAGTTTTATTCTCCTGTGGATATATAGGGGAGTCTTCCAAAGACTTCATGGGATATTCACAATTAACTGTGTGAGGCTGGAATTCCTCTATGTATTTCAAACAAAACATCCTATTGTATCAGATTGAATGCAGAGGCAATATATTTCATTTCTTGAGAATGTATATACACACACATGTGTATACAATTGTGCACCAAATTTTTCCGCTATAAAGCTTGCTCACACTATTTTGGGTTTACCTTTTCCATTTTTTTAAATAGAAGTTCATATATTCCCTAATATTCTTTTTTTAAAAATTGAAGAATAGTTGATTTACAGTGTTGTGTTAGTATCAGGTGTGTAGCAAAGTGATTCAGTTACACATACATGTTAATATGTATCTTTTTTTTTGATTCCTTTTTCTTATAGGTTATTACAAAATATTGAGTATATAGTTTCCTGTGCTATACAGTAGGTCCTGGTTGTTTATCTCTAATATTCTTTTTGCCTGTGAATACACAGTAGACAAAGAAGAATCCTTAATTCTCCCATTACTTCAAATCTCACAGGACTTAGGTTTGGGAGAGGGGTGAGTACTTTTCATGTCAAACCAATCCAAATGCTTTCCAGTTAGTAAACCAAGGTTGCCAGATGACATTTGCTGACTGCAAACATTGGGTCACTTTCTTCTCCAATTCATAACTATAAAGTGAAAATTGTGGTCTAGGGCTTGATCCTGCTCTGATTAATCTCAGTTTACATGGGAACATGACGCACCCCTAGAGGAAACAATTCCTACCCTACCTTGATGGGATCCCCTCCCAGGCGAAACCACCTCAAAGTAACAGTAAATACTGACTTTGCTCAGACCCCTTCTTACTCAGTCCTTGCTACTCCTTACTTCTATTTATCCTTTCCTTGTTCATTTTATATTTTCTAGCAGCAACAAGATCTGCTCAAAAGAGATCTTAAAAACTCTCAGATGAGGACATCCTGAGTGGTCTGTGGGTTAGATTCCTGGTCAGGGAGCTAGGATCCCACATGCCTCGGGGCCAAAAAACCAAAACAGAAGCAATATTGTAACAAATTCAGTAACGACTTTAAAAATGGTCCACATTAAAAAAAAAAAAAGGGACTTCCCTGGTGGCACGGTGGGTATGACTCCACACTCCCAATGCAGGGGGCCCAGTTTCAATCCCTGGTCAGGGAACTAGATCCCCCATGCATGCCACAACTATAAGTGCACATGCCACAACTAAGGAGCCCACCTGCCACAACTAAGACCCGATGCAACCAAATAAATAAATATATTTTTTAAAAAAAATCCTCTCAGATGTAGTTCCTGTCAATTTGGAAAATCACACAAAACTTACCTGGTATTTGGAGATTAGTGAAGTGCCCTATAGTTTGCTCTTTTTTATCCTGTTAGATTCCAAGACACAGTACCAGGTTTTCAGGGTGTAATCAAAGCTCTTCCTCATGGTATAGGGGTCACAACTCTCAGAATCACTTTTTTGAGAATCCTCAGTAAGGTATGGCACTGCAGGAGACGCTGCTGTTACACATGCTGCGATGACCCTGGGAGTTTATAGACTGTGAAGCAAAACGGAAATTCGATTAAGCCTGACAAATAATATTTAAAACTAATGAACTTAAATTTACGTTTAGTTACGTATGGGATGGACAACAGTAAAATGCATGAACTCTTTCTCCCCTGCATTAAAGAGAGATTCAGATTTGCACAATTGTCCATAATATACAACATGCTTTTCACTGGGCACAAAGGTAGACCAACAAACTTGATTCTTCATCAAGTTGCTTCAGCCAGACTTTTAGTTATTTTCTCAGAAAGGATCCCTCACACAATGGCAGCTTTTGGATTGAAATACTTCCAGTAAACTCTTCTATTTTCTCAGAGTGGCGGGAGGGGATGTCCCTCAACCCTATCTGCCTCTTAAGTGGCTTCCAGAGACACAAGAGAGGCCCCAATCCTCTATTTTTTAGGACATCATTTAATGGTTTTTCCTGATAGTGTTCCCTGTAGTGTATAATTCTTCGACATATAGTCGAAAATTTCCTGTATTATACCTTTGTATAAATGCAATCATATCTTATGGAATGTTTGGTCTAACTTCTTTCACACAATAAATCTCTGTAAGACTCATCCACGTCACTGCATGTTCTCTGTCTTACTCATTTTCACTGATGTTAAGAATTCTATTGTCATAAATTATCTAGCCATTCTCCCGCTGCTGAGCCTTTGGGTTGCTTCCAGTTTGGGACAGGTACAACAATGATACTATACATGTTTTTGTCTACGTATTATAATGCATATAAGCAAATATTTTTCTAGGCTAGAAGTTCTCAAAACTTTTCATCTCAGAACACTTTTTAAACCCTTAAATGTAATTGAGAAATTCAAAGAGGTTTTGTTCGTATGAATTATATCCATTGAGTGTTTTTTCCATTTAAAGATAAATCCCTCTGTAATCTATATGCAATCCATCTGCAATTGATTTTTTCCCTTATTTTATTGTGAAGGTTTCAAATAAACAGCAAAATAGAATAAATTTCATAAGGGACAGCTAGCTGTAAACTTAGCACCTGGCTCTATCCACCATAAATCCATCTTATTTTTTTATACATTCAAAGTAAATTATGCACATTTGTACACTTCCCTTAAATAATTCAGCATGCTAATCACGGAGTTCAATATTTGTTTACAGTTTATTTATTTATTTATTTTGGCTTTGCTGTGCGGCTTGCAAGATCTTAGTTCCCCAACCAGGGATCGAACCCAGGCCCCCAGTAGCGGAAGCCCAGACTCTTAACCACTGGACTGCCAGGGAATTCCTAACAGTCCATCCTTTTGATATAAAATATAGATACAGTGAAATCCTCTAATTGCAAATGGATATTTACCAAGTTATATAGAACATTACCATCACCTAGGGAGTCCTCTCATGCTCCTTCCCAGTCAGCCCTCACCCCCAGTCCTAAAGAAAACAATGGTTTGAATTTATTTTTCCACCAAAGATTAGGTTACTTATTACAGAACTCTATATAAATGGAATTATTTGGTATGTACTCTTGTTGGTAAGGCTCCTTTCTCTCAGCAGTTTTGAAATCCATCCATATCAATGTAAATCATGGGTCCATCTCTCTCTCTCTCTCTTTTTTTAAACATTTTATTTATTTGACCGCACCATGCCACTTGTGGGATCTTAGTTCCCCAACTGAACCTGGGCCCTCGGCAGGGAAAGTGTGGAGTCCTAACAACTGGACCACCAGGGAACTCCTGAGTTCATCTCTTTTCATTGCCAAGTGACAATATGTTATTTGGATACATCACATTTGCTTCTCCATCATCCTGTATGTGTATGTGTGTATATCCACACATATGTACATATACACACACATATATGATTTTTATTTTTAAATTTTAAATAATTGTAGGTTCATATGAAATTGCAAAAAAAAAAAATGTACAGGGATGTCCCATGTACTTTTGTGCTGTTTTCTGCAATGGTAACAGTTTGCAAAGATGTACTAAAATATCAAGGATGGGGCTTCCCTGGTGACGCAGTGGTTGAGAGTCCGCCTGCCAATGCAGGGGACACGGGTTTGTGCCCTGGTCCGGGAAGATCCCACATGTTGCGGAGCGGCTAGGCCTGTGAGCCTTGGCTGCTGAGCCTGCGCGTCTGGAGCCTGTGCTCCGCAACGGGAGAGACCACAACAGTGAGAGGCCCGTACCGCAAAAAAAAAACAAACAAAAAAAACAAAAACAAAATATCAAGGATGTTGCAAAAAACCTGCAAAATAACCAGTTTTTTTTCAGATTACACCAGTTTTATATGTACTTGTGTGTATGTGTACCTGTGTATAGTTCTATGCAATACCACCAAATTCAAGATGCAGAACTTTCCTGTCACCACAAGTTTCCTTTGTGCTACAATTATAGCCTCACCTTACCTATTCCCCCCGCTGCCACCCCCACATTCCCAGTCCCAGGCCACCACTAATCTGTTTTCCACCTCTATAATTTGGTTGTGTTATACATGTTATACAAATGGAATTTTATAGTTTGTGACCTTTTAAGCTTGGCTTTTTAAATTCAGTGTAATGGACTTATGATCCGTGCCAAGTCATTGCGTGTATCAACAGTCATCCCATGTCACTGCTATGTAGTATTCCATGCTATGGCTATATCATTATTCATTTAACTATTCTCTTGGTGAAGGATAACTGAGTTATTGCCAGTTTGGGACTATCACAAATAAATCTGCCATTTGTACAGTGTGCAGATTTTGTATTATTATGTTTTCACTTCTCTGGGACAAATACTTAGGAATGCAATTGCTGCGTCATAGGGGCAGTGCATTTTTACTATTGTAAAAAACTTCCAAACTATTTCCACAGTGGCTGCATCATTTTATATTCTCACAAGAAAGGTATAAAACTTTCACTTTCTCATGTTCACCAGCATTTAGCGTCATCACTATTTTTTCTCATTTTAGCCATTCTGATATATGTATCTGATTCTGGTTTTAATTTGCATTCCCTAATGCCTAATAATATTGAATATCATTTTATGTGCTTATTTGTCATCTGTTTCTCTTCTTCAGGTTCTGTCTTTTGTTTATTTTCCTGTTGGACTGCTGTTGAATTTTAAGAGCTCTTTATATATTCTAAGAACAAGGCTCTTGCTGAGTATTTTGTTTGCAAATATTTTCTCCTACTCTGTAGCTTGCCTTTTCACCCTCTTCACAGTTCTTCAATAGAGAAGAAGTTTTTAAATTTGAGGAAGTTTAACTTTTTTTTCCCATAGATTTTACTTCAGTTGCCATGTCTAAGATCTCTGCTTAGTCGTAGGTGAGAAAGATTTTTTTATGTTTTCTTTAAAAAATTTTTTTTAAATTACTTTATTATTATTTTATTTTTAGGAATTTAAATGTTTTCTTTTAAATTTCTTTAAATTGTTTTACAATTTAGATTCAAACCTGTGATTTATTTTGAGTTAATTTTTGTATATTGTTTGAGGCTTAGGTTGAGGTCGGTTTTTTTTTTTTTTTTTCCTATGAATGTCCAATTGCCCCAGCTACATGTGAGTTGTTGTGTAGGATATCATTCCTCCATTTAATTGATAATGCAACTGTAAAAAATCAGTTGGGGGCTTCCCTGGTGGCACAGTGGTTGAGAATCCGCCTGCCAAAGCAGGGGACACAGGTTTGAGCCCTGGTCCAGGAAGATCCCTCATGCCATGGAGCAACTAAACCCATGCACCACAACTACTGAGCCTGTGCTCTAGAGCCTGTGAGCCACAACTACTGAGCCCGTGTGCCACAACTACTGAAGCCCACATGCTTAGAGCCCGTGCTCTGCAACAAGAGAAGCCACCACAATGAGAAGCCCATGCACCACAATGAAGAGGAGCCCCCGCTCAACACTAGAGAAAACCCACATGCAGCAATGAAGACTCAATGCAGCCAAAAATAAAATTAATTAATTTTAAAAAATCAGTTGGAATCTATATGAAAAATTAACTGGAATCCTTATGAAATTCATCTAAATTTATTTTTTTTACATAAAGGTTGCTGTTTGAATAAATGATGCACCATTCACATACTATCTTTCTCTACAGGCATAATTTGAATGAAGGTCCTCCTTACCATGCCCATGCGTGATGTTACCTTCAGGAAATATTCTTTTGTTTTCTTTTTTTTTTTTTAGCCACGCAGCATGCAGGATCTTAGTTCCCTGACTAGAGATTAAACCTGTGACCCCTGCAGTGGAGGCGCAGAGTCACTGGACCGCCAGAGAAATCCCCAGGATATATTCTTAAGTGAAAAAAGGGAGGTGAGTTATATCCACAAAAATTCAATTAGCTATCAAGTTAAAAAGAAAAAAAGAGAATTTTATTCAAGCCAAACTGAAGATTATAAGCTGGAAAGCAGATTCTCAGAAAGGTCTGAGAACTGCTCTGCCTGTTAGAAGTTGAAGGCACAGTCATATACATTTTTGAGAGAAAGGATTGTACATCAAAATGACATATATTTTACATAAAGTCCACCAAGGATACAAAGTCCAGGTAAGCACATACAAAGCAAACAGCAAGTCACCATGACCCCCTAGAGAGCTGGGAATGAACACCATTTTAAGAAGTAACACTGCTAAGTGCAGAAGAAAGGAAAAAATTGATCATTACGATTGAGCAGGCACTTCCACCTTGAGAGCTCTGGTTAATGTGTAATGCAGATGCACACTGCACATTAGGGAGGGAGGGAGGAGGCTCAAAAAAACACAAAGAGAATTTTATGTGTAATTTTTCTTGTCCTGTCTTAAAGTATAAATTTTACTTCTGGGACTTCCCTGGTGGCGCAGTGGTAAAGATTCTGCCTGCCAATGCAGGAGAGACGGGTTCAAGCCCTGGTCCAGGAAGATCCCACATGCTGCAGAGCAACTAAGCCCGTGTGCCACAGCTACTGAGCCTGCGCTCTAGAACCCTTGAGTCACAACTACTGAGCCCGTGTGCCACAACTACTGAAGCCCGTGTGCTTAGAGCCCATGCTCTGCAACAAGAGAAGCCACTGCAG